CAAGATGCATAAGCCCTCTCAAAGCAGGGTTCATATGCCAAGCTCAGCCTGGGGCATGACTGGCTGCTCAGGGTTTGGTATTGCATTCAGGATTCAAAACTCAGCCCTAGTTCCCCAAACAATTCAAGTATTTTAACAAATTTAAATTCAGCTATTCTCTCCTCTCTCCTTTTTTTTTTCTCCTTTTTTTTTTTTTTTTTTTTTTTTTTTTTCTCTTTCTTTTTTTTTTTTTTTTTTTTTTTTTTTTTTTGCTCCTTCTGGGAGATCTTGTCCTTACCCTCCCTACCATGAGTCCCTGGCATGGAAGTGAAGTCAAGGAGCACAACTACTGAACTTTTCCCATAGTGGAATATACAGTGCAGTGGATTGCTAGAGATGCTCCAAAACATACAAAATACATAAATCAGCATATTTTTTTCTCATCCTGCAGCAATCAGGAGCCCTCTAGATTTGAGAATGACACTTACTACCTAGATACCCAAAGGCTCATTCCTAGGCTTGATAGATAAAAATTTACAAAACCTCACAATTTTGCCTGACTTGTTTATGGCTGCTGAAACCTGTCCAAGGGGAAAAAAAAAAGGCTGAAAACCAAAACTGTGGATTAGATGCAATAAAGGCTTTAGGATTTCTGAATCGCGGTTTTGGACTCAGATACCTAATTCTTCTTTCTGCTTGTTTCCGTAATACTTCAGTTCAATAGCAGTGCCCTTTCTGATCTTCATTTCCCACGCACCTTGAATTTAACCCCAAATAATGAGAACTAAGCCTGAAGACCACCTGGGACCTAGAAAGTAAAAATTTCTCTGCGGAAATCCCCCGAGGACCCTCATCCAGAAGACTTATACTAATAATACCTCCGCTTAACCACCGGTAGAGTTATTTATAAGCTGCAGTTGCATTGGCTTTGCTTGCAGAGGGCACGTTGTTGTGTTATTGCTATTTGGCTGAAGCAGATACCCAGGAAATGAGAGTCTAAGGCTCAATGAGCATTAAAACCTGGTAGAGCTCAAGCCCCATATTTCTTAGGAAAATTTCCTAACTGCTATTACTGTACTTAAGAGAAATGCAAGGAAGGGATTAAAAGCCAAGGGATGCACGCAGGGAGCCTCCGTAGCAGCCGGCTTTGGGGATGCAGGGGCAGGTCCAGGCGGCAGCCAAGCAGAAGGGCTGCACGGAGCAAAAGTCTCCCCCAAAAAACAGGAAAAAAAGGAAGGAAAACCCCAATGGGGGACAAGTCTGCTGGGATGAGACGGATTTCATTGAGAGGCACTCGAAACAACTCCCTGCCGCCTGATGTTTTTCCAAAGGGCCCGTTTTCCCAGATACCTGCTGCAAAAATATTGCAAGCCCTGACCTGGTTTATTTGTAAATGAGAAAGCCACTGGGAGAAAAAAAAAAACAAAAAAGTTTTCTTCAAGGGGAGTTTGATGTGCTGTTTAGGCTGCTCTGTCATTTTTCTTGTCTCTCTTCATAATCTCTATGTAACCCAGAAACAGCCAGTAAAAAGAGAGAACCTCTGCTTGTTTAATTGCTTCCTGAAAATTTGACAACTACTACTCCAGCCTCATTGGATAATCTACTTTTAAATTGCCTAGTCTTTCAAAGACAGCATAATTATTTGCGTACACTTACTTCCCCAGCTATACATCATGCCTATCAAAATTAAATGTTTCCAACATACCATTGCAGTGTTTTAACATTTCAGTTCTGTAATACATTGAATGGTAAATTGATCCTATACTTCCTTGTTAACAAATTTTCATACCTTTAGCAGTAGAGCACAGCTAGAAGTAAGATTTTTTCTCTCTCTCTGCGATTTGGGAAATAAAGAAAAGCATTTAAAGAATGACAGAGACCTATAAAATGCAAAACATGATCACAACACTTTTGCAATGTTTAAAGTACTATCCTGTAACACTGCCCTTTTTTTAAAGACCATTTCATTTGTATGACTCCTCTCTGAACAAAACATTTCAGCAGATGTATCCCGTGCAATTTACAGTTTTGCTTTACGTATACCCAGAATAATATTGTGATTTTGTAGGAAATCACGTACTTTTCCTCTAAAATTTTCTGAAATTTTTTTTTAAACAATACAATCATTTACGAAAAAGAAGTAGAAATAATTTAGTATATCCATTTGTTTAAGTGAATTCTAGTAGCAGTTTAACCTGCAAAAATGTCTGTGATTCCTAGAATTTATATTTTTCTATTATCTATATGATTATTTCTGCCTCTGTACCAGCAGGAAACCAGAAATGTTCTTAATATCGTGTCATATTAAAATTACGTACAAGAACGAGCTTAAATTTATCACATATTCAAGGCACAATCACCGTAAAGGGTATACATATCTCTCCGTATCATTCAAAGTTGAAAGAGCAGCTCTTTCCCACACCACGCTGAGATTTGTTCTGCAAAGAAACGGGCAGCTAGGGGCAGTCGTGAACAGAGAATTCCAGATATTAACATCACTTTTGAGCGTTTTCTTTCCCTTAGGATCTGCTGAAGGATTTTCTGCGTGCAAACCTGCCGCAGGGCCCTGGTTGCAGAAGGGAGAGCGGGTTTTGCAGGCAGGGCTGCAAACGCCGGCGGCGGGGCGGGCGCCGCGCTGTGCGCAGCGCACGTGCGCGCACGCCGTGCAGGGCAGCAGGCTGTCCACAGCACATGTGCAGGTCAAGCAAGCCGGGTAGAGAGACAGCACGTGAAAAAAAAAAAAGGAAAAAAAAAAAAGGAAAAAAAAAAAAGGAAAAGAAAGAACCCCTCCTTGGTTCTAAATCATCCCGAAGACTGCAATATCCTGTTATCTGTTGCGGTAGTATCATATACAAAATAAAGAAACAAATGTTGCCCTTCTGTGAAAAGAGATAAGAAAAAAGAAAAAAGAAAAAAAAAAGAAAAAAAAGAGAAGAGATACGTTAAGAACTGTACTCAAGAAAAGAATAGAACGGTGTGACTTTTAAGCAGCCCAAATTTCTTATATTGATTGTTACTGTTATCTCTTGGAGCAAGCAGTATAGACACAAGATAGAAGACAAGTTTAAGCCATTGGATGTCTGCTTGCCAAAAACCTGTCTTCAAGCCATACTATTGATCCAGCGGAGTTTTTTTATGCTGATCTTCGTTTATTTTTCCCTACCACAAAACTAAAAAAAGGCAGAAATAAGAGATTAGAAAGTGCAGAATGTGTTTCGGGAGAGTTGGTAACAAATGCATTTTACCCTAAAGAGGTAATTCTAATCCCTAAGGATTAGTGGGGATTTTGTACATTTATCCCTCTTTAATTATGTTTTTTCTGGTTACCTACAATATTTGGAAGGCAAATGTGTCAAGTTGTAATGTTAAACAATGAGAAAATGGCAAAACCTCTTCAGGCACCAGCATTATTTTCATTTTAGAGTCCAAGAATTAAAACCAGTTATTTACCTGCTTCTAAAATTCTGTTTCATGATTTTACTGATTCATTAATTGGTTTCCTTCTTTCAAATAGTGAACATACTTTAAACACTCAGGAAACACTGAGAACAGCAATACTCATTAGGGCCTGTGAAGCTCCTGCAGAAATAACATATAAAATAATCGATGGCATGCATAAATAAATCTGCACCCTTCCCCTACAAGAGGATCAAGGCAAAGCAGTGTATGAGAAGTGAAAACGGATGCACAGAAGAAAATATTTAGACACTGCACAGAAGCCATGTGGCTAAAAAAGGTAAGGTCCAGAACAGAAGCATCTGCAAGATTCTGGCAGTGGGGAGGAGGACAGATAAATTTTGCCTGTGTGAGGAGCATTTGCACAGAGGCTGCTGAGCAAAAGAATGAGGTAAATGCCAGCAGCCTGACTCTGAGGGTCTTACTCAGGCATTTGCACTGACATTACTGCAAAATGCTCTGCTCTGCTGAAACGCAGGCTGTAAAAAAAAAAGGGTTTTGGTCAGGCAGAAGGCATATGAAAGGAAGGGAGCAACGTTTTATATCCTTCTGACATGAAAGCCTATACGGTTTCAGCATCCTGGCTCTCCTACCACGCGTAGCTGGGGCTATTTTGCTGCGGGGTGGCACAATAACAGCTTTTATTCCTCCCCAGTGCTAAGTGGCACACACGGCCTCTCTCGGTTTCTGAGCTTTCTGTTTGCTCACTGGTAGAATATAAAGTGCATGGAGACATTAACCAAAGTTATGACAGAAAAAATATACCAGTGAGTGTGTATTTGTGCTTAGCTGACTCCGAACAATCAGCTGCACGTTTGAAAAATGCAAAGATCTCAATTTTCTGTAAAGAACTAAATTTAACAGTTGTTCTTGAGAAGCATATTCCAGAGCAACTATCACTGAGTATCCCAGACATGTTTGTTTAATATTTGAAGTCAGAATGCTTGCAACAGAATTAAATCACTCTTCTGAACTGCGCCATGCTTGTACAGTGATTTATAAAGACAGCTTAGATCTCAAGAAAAAAAAAAAATCAATCATCCTAAATGGAAGGATTCCAGGTGACATCCCACCATAATATCTAGTTAAATATAGCAATCTCAAAGAGGAACAAAATAAGTTCCTCAGCATCTCATGCACATGTATCTTGTGTTTCCAACTTTTTCGTAAGTTATATAGAAACCCTTGCACAGTATCTGCCAGCCACTTTCTATACTATATTTCTGCTTCAGCCCTTGTTATTATCAAAATTCATGCTGTTCCAAATACCCACATAAAATATTAATTAACCATTCTTAAACATCTGATGTATATTAAAACGAGCTTGCATTTAAAATCAGCCTCCAGCTTCCAAATAGAAACTTAACCTGGAGTTTTATAACAGCATGTTAAATCCAGATCGAGCAAATGGCAAATTCTGAAAAATACCTGGGGGGGGAGGAAGGGGGGGGGGGGGAAAGAGAGAGATATTCTGATATTTATTTTTCCAGAAAGGTCGACATTTGCCTTTTTTTTTTTTTTTTTTTTTTTTTCTCCAGGTTTCTTGTGCTCTTGGATGGCACGGCCCCCCGCCTCCGGGTGCACTGCCCGCCTGCGGAGCCGTGATCGGACAGACTGACGGACTGGGCTTTGCCGAGCCGCTCCCAGCACACGGAGCTCCCCGGCTGGAGGTTGGTCCCTGCTCCGTGGGCAAGGCCGGGGGGACACTTCGCTTCCCAGAGGCTCGTTCTCCTGGAGCCGGCGTTTGAAGGAGATAGAGGTTGGGAGCTGTGAAGCAATTCAGCTACTGTAATCAGGCAAGCTTTTCCTTATCCCGAGAAAAATAACTAACTTCATAAAGAAATATCATAAGCTCTTTTTAATAAGGGGTGATTTTGTGAAAATCTGCAATAAAAAAGCCATTGGGCCAGCAATTCCTTTTCCCTTCCCGAGCGATTTCTTTTTCCTGATTTACTTTTGACTTTGAAGAAGGGTAAGAATTATTTCTTCAAACAACTAGTTGCAGGCTAAAATTAACACTGTACATTTCAATTATTATCAATTTAAAGAATTGGTATCTTTTGATTTTTGATTGGAATCAAAAGAATTGGTATCTTTTTAATTAAAATATTTTTATCAGATAACCTAAGCCTCCAGAGCCATATATTTGATTTTAATTAAAAAAAAATTCTGGTTGTGATCATTGTTCAGAATTAATATACCAAATAAAATATGGGAAGAAAGGAGGTAAGGGGAGGTTATATAGTGTTACCTGATAAAAGGAGACAGTAATATTTAAAATGAGGTAAGTGTTACACCGATTTATGATGTATTTTATCTTCTAGAGAAACCCTAGTTTATCGTAGTGTCGTTCAGTTTGAAACGTCAGCTGTATATCTTCCAGCTTTTGAATGTAACTCTAGGTTGAAAGGAAAGGGTTTGCAGTGATGTGATGTATAAGCAGATCAAAAGCTTAGCATTTTCTCTGTGATAATTCACTTTTTTATTGCAACATTTTTGTTGTCATAAATACATAAATATCTTAAAAGAATATTAATAACACTTAGCACGTCTCTCATCTAGCATCCTACTGGTATACAAACATCTACTAATTAGGAAGGATGGAAAGATCCCTTCTGTTTTAGCCCTCACAAATACTACATAAACATTGTCATCCATAAGCCACTAGCACCACAATTTGTGCGTTTTTTTCTTGACTTGAAAACAAAACATCTTCACTCATACACCCTTTTCCTTTGTATGCATAGTATATTTGCATTAAGAGTCTCACCAGTCTAAAGTGATTTGGCTTATAAGGAAAGAGAAGTGATGGATTGCTAGCCTTATGTTCACCCTGTACATTGATAATAGTTTACTCTCATACTCCAATAAATTGTAAATAAGACTCTGCGTTCAGGTCGTGTGCTTTTAACAGTTATGTACTAGCATTACTTGTGCTACCAGAAAATTATCTGCCTGGGTAGATTTGGTTGTTTTTTGATAACAAACAAATGAAAAAATACCAAACTCGAACTTCCAAAAAATCCCAAAGCGCAGGGCAAAATAAAGCAGCCTCCAAACCCCTCCCAGAAAGAGCAGCCTGCCAGCTAAGGGCCAAAATAACCCAAATGTTAGAGTCCGTGTACACAGGCTGGCAGGCAGTGGTGGTGCTTTGCTCCAGCTGCAAACCATGCACGAGATGAACATTTGCTGCCCTTTTAAAGACAGCATTGCATGCTGCATTTTTCTTTCTGGAGCTATAAGCCAGCCAGGATCCAAGGGATGGCACCAACCCGGAGGTCAGCATCACCTTGTTTCTTTCAAGGCAGCAGTTCCCATCTCCTGCTCTTTTCCAAATGCATGGAAAGGACGGGAAGCTCCTCAGCTGCACTAAACCTGCTGCTGGCACCCAGCTCTACACAAGTGCATCAGCTACTAAAGTCCCAAGAGCTTCCACTTTTGGGTCTTAAAGAACAACTCTTGGCTCAGGTTAAGTTAGATTTACTTATTATATCTAAAGAACAACACCTGGTTGAGGTTAAGTTAGGTTTACTTATTAATCATTCATTTTTTGTATCTCATAGCTTGTGCCTGCAGTAAATGGAATAACTATTGAAATCTATAAAACATTAATCTATTTGGCTCATGAGAGTTCAGTATCTGGGCCATATATTTTAATGTTAACATCCTGGATACAAGTACATGAAATTATGACTAAATCATAAGGATTTTAACAATTTTTTAAGCAGAAGGAGGAAGAGAAGAAACTTTCATAAATCTTTCTGGCACTTCAGCTCACAATTTAGTTAAGCTCATTATGTTGAATAAGGAATTAATGGCTATTGAGCTCTTATGTGTGTTCTGGGGATTTAAATGAACATAATTCAGACATTTATGACAGCACGGTTTCATTTATGCATATGTGATCACTTAGCTTCTCATCACACAAGCCTGTTGGATCCTGCAGGCCCATTCTAAATTTGATGAATGCAGAAGGACACAACTTTGGATGCTTTGAATTTGGCCCACTGGAGACAGCAGCGCTCTGAAGACATATTTAGACCTTTCCTTCAACAGAGACCTTTCCCAAATATATCTGGGATATGGAACAAATTTAAACGTGCCACTAAGGGAATCAGTTTTTGTCTGTTAGTCTTCCACTGAATGCTTCTCAAATTATAATGTGAATTAATGGTGCCCAGACCCCAGCCATTAATAGATGCACACAAAAATGTGGAACGTAAGACCTTATTTAGGATATTAAAAGTATATTTCTGAGTCCCTTCCATGATTCTGAATAGATGAGAAAAACATTTCTCTTTCAAGTAGGACCTGAGATGCTAGTCAGGTCTAGCACCTACAGTATCCAGCATTACTACAGCAGTGAGTGACTTTGTCCCTGAAGTGACCATGCAACAGAAGCAGGGAGGCATCTCCCAATTCTTCTTTCACAGGACCTCCTGGAACTGCCTTCCTATTAGAAAAGCTGCTGTTTTTCTGATGCTCACAGAACTTCATCATGCCAGGATATACAAGCAACTGTCTTCTTTGCTGCTTGCATAGCACTGGAAACAAGTTACAGTTCATTTAAAATATTAAGAAAAGAAAGAAATTATAAAATGTTTAAATGGGATCCCAATACCATTTCCTTTTTATTTGCTCCCTCCCTGTCTCTGAGAGAAGCTTTATGATTTCTTTAATGCAGGGCTATTCTGAGGAACTGAAAACAAATACACAATCAAGGGCCCACTTTTCCTTTAGTCAGAGTCTTGCAAGCTCCAACTCTGGGGTTTTGGTAGCACATGCCGATGGAGAGGAAATCTGCAGAAAAATCTTACTTCTGCCAACCAGAGGGGATTGGAAGGCAAACACACAGGCCAAATTGCTCCTTCAGCTGGTCAAGGTCTACAATTCACAGAACCATAGAACCCTTAAGGTTGGAAGGGACCTTTAGAGATCATCTAGTCCAACCCCACTGCACATAATCAAAACCTTAATGTAAACCAAGGGAAGAGCACTTAATCATGGAGTTTAGATAAGGCATCTGAACACATGCAGAATCAGCAGAAAACATCTTTTAGGTAAGAATGGTAGAATTTAGCAGGAAGGAAGAGAATTTACCCCTGCACAACTCTGAAAGAAGAGTTTTGATCTCATTCTTTTGCATTATTCCCACTGTTTAGCATTTTGCCATAGTGTATCCTTTCCATCATTAAATTTCATCATTCATTTACTCATACCACCCATAAACCAAAGAAAATGCAACACCAAAGACTTTTAGTCCTATGGTGGCCCCAACACTATCACCTATGTTTTACAGATGGGCACTGACTGTCCTTTACTCTGGTCAAATATGCAAGACACCTAAAAATAGAACTTCTCAGGAATACCATGCCTATGGTATGGTATACCATACCTATAGGTATATATCTGTATTTTACCACTCACATACCGTGTCCTCTGATGGGAGAAAAGAGCTTTCTCACTTCTGATAAATCTATTTTGCCTCCAAAGGAAAGAAACTTTGACTTGTTTGCTATGTTTCACTTGACATATTGCCTCCAGGGCAGTGTTCAAAATGACTTTACATAACAGTCTACATTCATAATCCATCACTGTTGAGGGAAACCAAAATAAGAGAATTCTACCCGCTACATATTAGTGTCATTGGTCTTCTATTTTAGGTCCACAAAAAAGTAGCAGCAATGTAGATAAAGTTAAAGAAAAAAAAAAAAAACCCACACCAAAACCTATCAATATGTATTTTCTTTTTCTTGTCTTTTTAATTTTCAAGGATTGAGTACTTTAAAGCATCATAAAACAGCTTTATTCAAAGCTCAAATGTCTTTTTAAGGCCTGGTTTGTAGGTCACAAATCTTGGTGCAGTATCTCAAACTCACATTTAGCACAGATTAAATATCAACGTATCAACATATTATGTCCTTTTGCATATTAAAGTTACACTTTTCAGTGAAAATTGCATTTTAATACAGACTTTTCTTCCCTTCCACCTTCTTTCTGCACCTAGCAATATAATTTTCCAAGATCTTGCAGAATAATTTTATTACTTACCAGCAAAGGAGCAATCTCACCCTCTCTTAAATTGAAGCTGATAATGAAAACCCTCATTCTACTTGTTAGTCAAAAAAGGTTTTAAAAAAGAAAAAAAAAGAAAAAACAAAGCACCCAGTCTTACCCCACAGAGTGGGTGAATAAATAAATATTACACAATAGGTTTAGCGATAAGAAGTCAATGAATTGATAAAAACCTTGAATTCTGAAGTATTCTTTTTATCACCAAATCTAAAACAGTTTCACTAAACAGCTCCATTTCTTTGGTCAGAGAAACTAGGATGGAAGCTTACAATAGCCTTCAGTGCTTCTTGATAAATAACAAAAAAAGCGCAGTGGAAATGTTCAACTTCTTTATGATTAAAAAACAAACCTTTAATGTAGTTTTTGTTTACTGTGTCATAAGTGCAGCGTTGGAAGTTGTTGCCAAAGAATCATTGGAACAGGCATCACTAAAGCAGTGTCAGCAAGCCAGCGCTTTGAAAATGATTCAGTTCCTCTAGTCTTATGACTAAAATAATATCCAGTGGCTCCAGCTCGAAGCCTGGTTAATACATCTGTCCAGAACACATAATTACTTGGTCATAACATTCCCCCGGCCACCAGCCAACAAACCAATCAGCATTTCTTCCCAACTCACTAGAATTTTTGCTGTGTCAAACTGTTTGATCTCTAGGTAGTAAAAATGCAAAAAATGGAAGGACATTGCACTGGAAGGTTTTAATTTAGCATAGTTTCTCATGGAAATTAAATCTGAGAAGAAACATGTTTTTGTTGACATTGCTGAGATTTTCATTCTGGTTTGGGAATTATGTTAACATATCTATCTTGCAGCTTTCTTGTTATCTCTTCACCAGTTAAGATGTTGAAATGTAATTTCAGTTTTATTAATTGCTTTCACCAGGAAACTCATATTTATGAGAAATGAGATTATATTAGCAAATTTAAAAGACCACTAATACATGCAACTATCAAGGAATACGTTATGTAAACTGTGTGCATGGAAAGGGAAAGAAATGAACCCTGTCTATTTACACAGACACAGATATCCACAGTTCTCTCAGCTTTACTCATGAGTGTATACATTCAATTTTCTGAAACCATATTTTAAAAACTCTGATTCAGATCTGGTATCATTGAAATCAATAAAAGTTTTATCCTGACCTCACTAGGACACAAAATCAAGAACACTGTAACATTATACTTACTTCCCACGTCATGTGTCAAAACCACAGCCAGGAAAATGCTCCTTTTGCATTTCAGAGTAGTTCAATCTTTTCTTTATAGCACATGGTACCTCTAAAACGACAGAAGAAATTGTCAAAATTTCAGCAGTGAAGAACTTGGACAACATTCTCAAGCTTCCAACCTCAAAGCACCCACATCATTTTTAAGAGCAGAGCACGTTCACTGCTCAAGTGCTAATGTTGCAGAGCTTCCTTTACCAGAGTGCCTGCAGAGCAGCAAACACCTCCAGGTCATGGCCTATAATTAGGATTTAAGGGCACTACAGGAATACAAATAAAAAATAACGCACCTCCCTCATCCACACTGAATATTCATCGTTCCTTGTGGGGGGAAAAAAAAAAAGGAAACAATTTCCTTATTTTCCTTTTCTCCCAAGATCCACACCAGTTGTAGAAGGACTGGCTGTGCCTAAACTAACCCAGGAGCAGAGGGGGGTGGTCTCATGCCTCACGTCTCAGACCACTCCATGGCAGAAGCCCCAAAGGCACATGATGTAGCTCTCAATTGGACTCTGCATATAGTTTCTATATGAAAAGGGATAAGGAAGGAGGAATTGAGAGGATCCTTTTTCATGCAGAGTCATGATGTGGTCGGAGTGGCCTTCCAGAGAAGCTCAGGAGCTCCCCCAATTTGGCCATCAGTGTTTCTTCCTTTCCTAGTTTCCTGAATCTAGGCATTCAGACCATCATACTTACAAGCCAAGGTAACCTTCACAGCACTGAGCAAAATGCAAAAATGCTATATATCTCACTCACCATGAGAATGCTTTACTCAGGCCAGTGGATTAACACACTCAGAAATATCAGGAAGAATGTTGCCATATCCATGCAACAACTCAGATAGGCTGCCTCTTTGTGCAAATGCACATTAATGCAGCTAAAATTCTATAATCCTCCATGAGATTTTCAACAGGATGCCTCTTTTATTTGCTCAAATGATAATATTGTTTTTTTGAACATTTTCTGCATTCATTTTATGCCTTATGCGTATTGCACAGAAGAACATCATCTAAGCCCTGCCCTGAATAGAAAACTACGAACTTTATGCTTTTATGCAACTTCTTTCTCCCTCCCACACAGTTTAGCGGAGCTCTTTGCAAATTTATTTACATAGCTTATTAGTATTGATACAAGAGATTACTGGCATTTTTAGCCTCTCTAGAAATAGAAAATTCAGGTGAGTATTCAGGAAGAGTCACTAATTTGTAAAGTCAGCTTAACATAATACTGGGGAAAAATTGGGTCCCCTACACACATATTCTAAAGAGCAACTCTGAACCATTTCAGTGGCAGTATCCTTGAAAAGCTGGCCAGCCACCGGTGCTTCAGATCAGTTACACAAGATTTTATAAGCACAAACCAAATAACCAGAGGAGAGAACTCTCATTTGTGGAGATGACTTGCTCCTCAGCCCCAGGGAAGATGCTTTCCTCAAAAGAGAGTAGAACCCAATCTCTAGGCAACTTCACTATGAGTTTTTTTATTTTATTTTATTTTTTTCCCCTTTGGTTTTCCTGTTGTTTCATCTCTTTCCAGGATGTAAGTAAAGCAAAATTCCTACTAACAATAGTCACCTTAGCTACAACAGCCTTATTCATTTTGGAGTTTGGCCACCACTTAGTCTTGCCACATAACACAGAACCAGCTTTCTGGCTCCAGTCCTCATTGCTCTCCCATTTGCTTTGCTTTTGGAGTGCATAGAAAGAAAAGAGGAAGAAGCATATCTTCCTCATTCCCTTCTCCTTAAAAAAATACAGATTTAAAAATTAAAAAGGCATATTTTATCTTTAGAGAAGAAAAGCCAAAGGTCCAAACTCTGGATTTGGTCAAGGAAGCTCTGAGGATACTGCAAATAATTTGTAGGATCCTACATGCTTAACTTTAGGCCAAAGGCACGTGAACATGAAGATCCTTATTGGAAACATCTACAAGTTTCTGTCAAGATATTCTCATGGCTGGGGTTCTAGTTTTGACATTGGTCCCTCACAGTGGTATAGTCACACACACAGTTTTATCTGCAGCACAAAGTTTCTCCAGCTGTAGATACAGCTCTGCTGTATGTGAGCACCAGGGGGTTTAGTGCTGCCACTGTGTTCTCTCTGGCAGCTCAACTTTGCTCATGTGTTCTCAGAAGTTATTTTGGACAAATTAATTTATACCAAAGATGAAGGCAAAAATAATTGTCAAGTCTTGTTTACGGACTCCTACATGAATTGCTTACATCCTTAGCAATATTATAAAAATTTAAGTAGTGACTATTTCCATCAGCCAAATTCATTTTGCAAGACTACATGTATATGCTCATGTTATTTTTACAGAAAAAAAAATATAGCTTTTGCTCAAATCTTAGAAGTAGATGTGGAGCTTCATCCAAACTTGGGGTACTTTCTAAAGGGAGCTCGTTGCCTTAAAATGTCTGCAGTTCTTCAGTTTTTAAAAACGAACCCCTACTCATCCTCCTTATTACAATAAGTGTTGCTTTTCTATTGTATTCACAATAGTTCTGACAAAGAGGTGAATCACCTGCTCTGATTTAAATATTTGCTATGTATTTACATTTACATCCACAGAGAAGAATGTTATTCAGGGCACCTTTTACCTAGAGAACTGAATGAGAGAAATGAGTCTGGCAATGTGTGACTTCAGGCACCTGTTTCTCTTCGTTGATGACAAAAGCGGGTTCTAGATCATGAGATCACAGTTTATTTCACCTGGAATATCGCTATCTGTAGTGTTCACAATTATTCTCACTAGCTAGTCAGGAACTTACACACATGTACAGAATCTGAATACAAGCTCCTGAGTTCATAATAAAAACCAAGAGGAGGGCAATAAGTACTCATATATTGAAATAGATCAATTAAAAATTCTATTGTTGTTCAAACGTGACCCTGTGTTTTCTCACTAAGAAAAATCACCATTCATTTCCAATTATTTTTTTTTCTTTAATGTGCTTTTGTTTGTTTTTCTTGGCTAAACCTAGCCAGGAACTTTAGCATTAAGTATAATACATGCTCACTAAAGACTATACCAGATAGTTAGGCAAAGTACTACCCATAGAAGAGCAAATATTGCAATTCATTTCACCTACAGAGCAAGAACTATTTCAGTAGCACAATTCTGTTCTTTAGAAAGAACTATAGATAAATGAAACAATATTTTAGCATGAAAATAAGTAGTGGCTATATACACAACAAAAGCATTTTCCAGATTATCGATACATAGTCTGAAGATACCAACTAATTTCAATCTTTAAGTGAACATAATAGCTGTGAAGCTCATGCATAACTGGAGCACAGTGACATCTGACGAAAAATGTTTAAATCAAGTTGGGCACGTGAGCAGAATTGTCCATTAAATTGGTTTAGTTTTGAAATCAAGCAGGAGAGAGGAACTGACCACAGACTATTACCCTGAAACAAGTTACCAGGCTTGTTCCAGCAAGGGGCAAGCCTGTGAAGTTGCTGCATATTGGTTGAAAAAATCTAGGTGTTTCTGTGGTTTTTTTTTTTTTTTTTT